TSMKSCRCYMMTGCATCCGCGTGATATCCTTGCAATGTGTGCAATGTAAAACCTTGATGACTATAAAACACGATTTTATAATTCCATTTTTCGTTAAACGCATCTTGTATTTTATCATTTTATTTTCTTTCTAAACGCTGTCTCGAAAACACAAGAATCCGTAGGTAAATATTAGCTTTATAAATTCTGTCAAGAATGAGTGTTCCTAATCCATGTGGGATATTACCGAAAAACATCATATCATATCCGCGCATGCGTATTCAGTTGATAGGCTAGCAAATTACGTACGGTCATATTCTTGAGTACTTTAATTGCATTGTTCTAATTTATCATGTATTCAATTGTTTTTATCATTTTATCTGTTTGTTCCCATTATAATCTTCGTTTCATTCACTATTCTATTCACTTATTGTTGTTCCAGTTCTGTGGAACATATAAAGATATCAACTTAAAAAAACACATTTTTATCCTTATTTAACATATTAAAATCATATACAAATGTCTCTTTTTATCGAGAAATCACAATCGATAATATTTCAGGAGTAAGACTGAACAGTTTAAAATTTTATCTTAATTATGGAATTTCTAAAAAAATTGTGTTTGTSAACAAAATTTACCTGTAAAAAATTCAATTTCAGTTTCATTGTTTGTTGTCTAGTCTATAATCAGTTGAATCTTTAATGTTCCTTTCTTCTTTGCATGTTCAATTGCTTCAAAGCATTGCGAGAATGGATAAGCCTTTGTCAGCAATTTGTCAACATTCACATGACCCCCCTTAAGCACATCAATAGCAGCCTGAAACGGCCCACAACGAGAACCAATGATTTTCAACTCCTTCACAACAAAAGGTGCCATATTGAGACCWGAAGTGCCCACAGCACAGGTWGTYTTCAGGACTATAGTCCCCAGAGAACGTGTAATYTCCCCYGCTAAAATCAGTCCCTGGGGACTTCCAGARGCTTCAACACATACATCAAAAGTGTCACTAAACTCRGGCATAGTTTCATCTTTYGGGACAAGYTGAGTTGTGACATTTTTTGGYACAAGTGATAGTTTTTCTTCATGTCGACCAAATAAGACAACTTCCGAACAGTCTTGTGCAGCTAATACTTCGGTGATAAGCAATCCAAGTTTACCATCGCCTATTATGGCTACTCTCTGCCTGGGTTGCACTAGCTTCTGCTCAACAATACGGCATGCAGCTGCTAGAGGTTCTATGAAACAAGCTTGCTGATCTGTGACAGAGTCAGGGACTGGTAATAGGTTTCTCACTGGCAACGTGATGTAATCRGCATAGCAACCATCTTTATGGAGAATTCCTAGCACCGTGCGATTAGGGCAGTGATTACGGCATAGTATTGACTGTCTGTCTTCACATACRTCACAGCTTAAGCAAGCCAAGTTGATYTCTCCGACTACCCTTTGGTTTKGTTTGATGCCATRACTGTTTGCCGAGACTTTTTCAACAACTCCAACAAACTCATGACCAATGACACCAGTGAAACCCATGTACCCTGGATATAAAATATCTACCTCATTACTCACATTCTTAACTTGTCACAAAGTTTGAAACCAAACCTAGAAGTTGTGATTTAAAAATCTATAATAACAATTATAATTTACATAAATTTTCATGTATAATTTGTGAACTCAATAGCCAATTTGCATTATTGCGTCATTTACTACAACTACCAGAATGCTTTGGCAACTCTCTTTTGTAATGCAATTAGTGCCAATTGTTTTATTAATCTCCAAGGGGATTAAAAATCTGAATAACAATGAAAATGTGCAAGRCTCTCTGGTAGTTGTAATAAAATTATGTCATATAATGCAAATGGCCTATTAGTTGAATGCCAACCCCAATTTGGCATTCAAGAGCCCATCAATCAAACCTCAGAACTTTCTTTAAACTGTTTTTGTGATTTCTCCCTCACAATGAACTGTAGCTGTGATCAGTTCAGGTTTTAATTGGAGCTTGTTCACTATTTAGGCAGTCAACAGATAAAATCTACTCTACCTTTTAATATCTCAAGATCTGTGTTACAAATCCCCACTCGCAAGATCTTGATCAAAGCTTCATCATCCTTGGGGATTGGTTTGGGCATTTCCTTCATGATCGCACCTGTGCCATTATCGGCTGTCTTTGCTGTGTCTACACAAACTCCTCTCATGGTCTGAATAAGAGACAAGATCACAAAAGCCATGTTGAAATGATCACCAGTCAGTATGGGAAACTTATTTTCTTGTCATTAAGCTTATATATAAGCTTTATATTATATTATGAAAGTTTCACTGGAATATTTTTTTCAGAAAAAATCACAATTACAAGCTTATGATTTCATTATTCAAAGTTATTTARGATAATCAAAATATATTAAGCGTATTAAGCTTATTATTACTTATATATTAAGCTTAGTTAATTTAACTTTCCAACTTTCCGTTCAAATCAACTTCCCATAAGTAAAACCAAAATGCGAATGTCACCTTTCAGCGTAAAGTAGATTAAGTAAAATCTGAATTTCACTGGTATCATACCTTTTTTGCAGTAATTAAGCTTACCTTTATTAACTCAACTAATATATAAGCTTAATTAAGCTCGTGATCCATCAGATTTGTGACAAAGTTCGATGTTCACAGTTCAAAAACCGAGCTATGTCGTCAAAAAWATCACTCATCAACATGAYCCTAACACTTGAATTAAGTTGTACTAAAACCTTACCTAGTAACTGTTGTACAGCGATGTATTAAGTAGAAGAAAACACGTTTTTGAGAATACARGAATCTTTCGAACTGATTTCAAAAATTCTTGGGAGTCCTGTGTYACTAAGAGTCCAGTCCTCTCACTACACAGGGATCCCAAAATTCGTGGAGGTTTGATGTTATTTTGACATTATCAAGACTTACACCAATTTGATATGTATCTCATATTATTTATCTCAGTTTTATTGTACACAAGCATGCATCATTCAAAATCTATGTCATTGCCCAAGTGTATTTGATATATTAATAGAAATCTTTTTTTTTAATTTTTCCATTTTTCAATACTCGATCAAGAAGTCCAGAAGTATTGGAAATCACAACACAAGAAACCTAAATAATGATATACCATATTATGGATGATAGAGACCCACGTGTGGCATGTCTGTTTCAAAATATTGCATACATATTGCAAATGATGAAATCTTGGGAGTAAACTACCTTGGAGTTTGGAATTCCAACCAAAATTAAGTTTTCCAAGCAATATTTTTTAAAGCCTCTGTGCATCTTGGAAATCTCTTTATAAGCAAGAAGTGGAGCATGTCTTAACAGGGTAATAAATGTTTGAGGACAATCTCAGTTGACTTTAATTGTAAATTTGCCTATTGTATTTTTTTATTTGCCTATCATGCAATAATATTTCAACTTTAGTTCCATGCAYAGAAGTCTTGAAGGAGGTACATTGTACATATAAAACAAGATGTTCTTGATATTTTCATTTCCACTCTTGCACACGTTTTCCATCTAGTTCCAAAACAAAGACTTTCTCATCTTGTGTAATAGCAATGTCTATGGGAACATCCATTTTTCCCTGTCTTGAGCCGTAGCTGCCAAAGGAAGTTAGAAAGTGACCACTTTGAGAAAAGACCTGGACACGGTGATTATTTCGATCACAGACTGCAAGCATGTCTTTGCCGAATACAGCAAGTCCACGTACGAGATCAAACTGACCTTCTTTTTTACCTTTGCCTCCAAACGTGTACAACAGACCACCATTCTCATTAAAAACATAAACATTGTCCATGTTCAAAAACGAGACAAAGTACTTATTGTTCACATAAGCTAATGAGTGAGGCTCTTCATGACCATCATCAGGGACATCCATTTTGATGTCATGAATGTGATCATAACTTTTATCACTGAACAACTTGATAAATGTCTCTTTGGTTTTCCCATTCCAACACAAACAAGCAATGCCGTGATTGGCCTTACACATTCGTGATGTATATATTTCTTTAGGTAGGATACAAACAGTTCTTTTCTTAGTACCATCAATATCAAATTCCTTGATGCATCCGGAACCGCCTAGATTGTGGCAGACAAGAAGTCGATTTTTTTGGTTGAATATTACTCCAAACCGATCTGAATCCAATGCATAAATTTGTGGTCTGATGGAAAATTCTTGCATGTATTGTCCATTTGCAAAATTGAATAAAGCAATGACAGTTTTGTCAGGCCCATGATCAACAACAGCACCTACGCCTTGGTCATTGATGGCTACTCCAATGGGTTTCACCAATCTCTTCTTTCCAAAGGTTCTGGTGGCACGATAGGTTTTCACATCTGCTGTAACAGTCTGTGGTGAGTTTTTGATTTCTTTTCCTACAATACTCACCATAACTTTGTACTGTGAAGGTTTCTCTGCTTTATACTTTACTAGAAATCTTCCAGTTTCAGTTTCGGTGAGCTCCATGATCTGTATGTCATTGTTGTCAGCATCTTGGATTTTCACATCGATGAAATCTTTATTTGCAGGGCATACATTTCCATCTGAATCTCTATTCACAATGAGAAACTCATTGATAACACCACATATAACAGATTTTGTTAGATCTTCAATAGAACAATGTGACGCATCTGCCAGACTTTCCACTACATCACCCAGTTTGATCTCTTGCATGTCAGAAAAAACCTGTGGGTTTGGAATGTACATGTAATGTAACTTCTCTGGCTTGGTCGATAACGGAGTGGACTTCTTTTGAATTGTAGTTTTACAGACATCTTGTAAATTTTCAGAGCTTTCCAAAATAAAATGTTCTAAATTATTCTCTTCCATAGTCTCGCACTTTTGCTTCAGCTCGGACAATGTTTGTATGCCATCCCTAATCTCATCATCTAGCTTGAAAGCAGCTGACATGCGATCCAAACGGACAAAATCTAAGGTAGCAATCTTATTGTCTTCGTGGTCTTGTAGAATCTTTATCAGATTTTGTGTGTGGTTGCGTACTTCTGCCTTTGCTGTGCTAATCTCGCTTTGAATTCTTCTCATATTTTCATTGGACAGTTGTAATTGTTTCTTGTAACCGATAATCAGCTCATTCAGTCGATCCTTGTCTCTTCTGATGAGCTTTTTGGCATCTTCAGCTGCCTCCTCGATGCTGACCTTGTCATGGCTGCCGTGTGCTGTTGCAGAACATTTATTGCAAATACACTTCTTGCAAGTCTTGCAGTAGAATTCAAGACGACAATTCACATGGAACTTCTCTTTGCAAAATGCTTGGTTATTGACAAAGCTGTTTAAAACCTCTGGATTGAACTCGTTCCAAAGTGTTGCCTTGTGGCTCTTTATCAATACCTTTGCTGTTCTGTGTTCATTCATGCATTCATCACAGATCATTCCTCCACACTGGGGACAAAATCCAATCAAAGTGCAGCTGTTTGAACAACCAGAACACTCTGGAAACTGTTGGTTGGGTTCGTCAGCCTTCATTTTCATGGAGTCGAATAACTGAAGCAGTGACTTGAAAGTGAATGAAGAAGGAAGATTCGCGATATCGCCTCCTTCGATGTTGACTGCTGCTCGACAAGTTGGGCATTTTAGTGTCTTCTTCTCTTTTTGGCAAGTCTCGTTCCAGCCTTTGATGCATTTAAAGCAGAAAGTATGTAAACACGGTAGTGTCCTTGGCTCAGTAAAGATTTCGTTACAAACAGCACAAGTCAACTGAGCTTCAAAGTCAGAAGTAAAGCTATGAAGTCCTTCCATGATTGTCAGAAAGCGATCATGTTGAGAACAATCTGTCAGCGCATGCTCTTAGCCACTTTCCTTCCCACTCCCCGCTACGCAGGCTACGTGCGACATGCGAGACAATCGAACCACAGCGAGCCCATCCTGATATTCCGACACGCTCCAGGACTCGCGGCTACTCGCAATCTTTAGACAATTGCTTTAGTCTGCTTTTGTCTGTGTTAAGCGCCATCTGTCACGAAAGTAGATTTATTCAAATTATTTTCACTTGTATCAGTTCGCGTAGAAATGCCAACGTTAGCAAGAGCATTGGAACTTTCAGATCATGTTCATTGTAATATGCTCTTTCAATAGGCAGTAATGATATTGAACATCTTATAAACTAAGACGTTACGGATAGCCACGCCCTTTTTCACTATATGGTCTATAAGTCGCTAGTTTGAGCGACAAAACGAAAGAACTAGGAGCGAATACTACAACTTATGGAATCATCTGGAATCAGTCTAATTACGCAATGTATTATATCAATTTATTATAAATCTTTTATACAAATCTATCTGGGATCCTAATCCCTAAAGCTGAACAGCGCTAGAGAGAAAACCAAGAATTATTTGGTAATTTAGATTTCTTTTCTAATGTAAAAAAAAATTGCGTGTTTTTGCTGTTAATCTGTCTAGCCTGCCTGACATCTATTTTTATTTTTTCACAGCTTATTTTTCATGTATTCTTGTGGATATGAGGATAGCAATGCTCCATGGGAGACTTAGTCCAGAAGCATTGTAAATCACGAGACAGGAAGCCCATACATATGATGCAGATCCATGGATCACAGGCTAAGATACCTGATTTAAAAAATATTGCTGACGCTTGCATGAAATTTCAGGCAAAAATAATCCAGGAAGTGTCAGTATTCTGTCATGTCAGACTAAATACTTTTTTAAAGCATTTATGGCATCTCTGAATGGAGCACAACTGATCAAATGACAAATAAATGCAAATAAATGTCAAGAGCATCTAGTATAGACACACTATGTAATTATGTTTGCCTATCTATCAATAACATTTGTTCCTTGCATAAAATACTTGAAGGAGTACAAAACAAGATATTTCTGATTATTTCATTTCCACTCTTGCACACGTTTTCCATCTAGTTCCAAAACAAAGACTTTCTCATCTTGTGTAATAGCAATGTCTACGGGAACATCCATTTCTCCCTGACTTGACCCGTAGGTACCAAAGGAAGTTAGAAAGTGACCACTTTGAGAAAAGACCTGGACACGGTGATTATCTCGATCACAGACTGCAAGCAAGTCTTTGCCAAGCACAGCAAGTCCACGTATGAGGTCAAATTGACCTTCTTTTTTACCTTTGCCTCCAAACGTGTATAACAGATTGCCACTCTCATTGAAGACATAAACAGTGTTGCTGTTGAAAAACGATACAAAGTACTTATTGTTATCATAAGCTAATGTGAAAGGCCTCTCTTGACCATCATCAGGAACATCCAGTTTGATGTCATGAAGGTGATAATGACTTTTTTTATCACTGAACAACTTTATAAATGTCTCTTTGGTTTTCCAATTCCAACACAAACAAGCAATGCTGTGATTGGCCTTACACATTCGTGAAGAATATATTCCGTTCGGTAGGGTACAAAGAGTTCTTTTTTCATTACCATCAATATCAAATTCCTTGATCCATCCAGAACCGCCAGGATTGTGGCTGACAAGAATTCTTTTTGTTTGGCTGAAGATTACTCCAAAAAGATCACATTTATTACCTTCAACAATTTGTTCTCCAATGGTCAACTCTTTCTTGTACTGTCCATTTGCAAAATTGAATAAAACAATAGCAGTTTTATTAGGCCCATGATCAACAACAGCACCTACGCTTTGGTCATTGATGGCTACTGCAATGGGTCTCACCAATCTCTTTTTTCCAAAGTGTCTGATGGCACAATAGGTTTTCACATCTGCTTTAACAGTCTGTGGGGAATTCATGATTTCTTTTCCTCCAATACTCACGACAACTTTGTAGGGTGAAGGTTTTTCTGCCTTATACTTAACTAGAAATCTTCCAGTTTCAGTTTCAGTTGCGGTCAGTTCTTTCTGTACATCGTTGCCATCGACATCTTGGATTTGAACATCAATTATATCTTTATTGGTGTGGCATACATCCCCTGCTGAATTTCTTGTTTCGATAACAAATTCATTGGTAAAACCACACCAAACGGATTTACTTAGCGAATTTATAGAACAACGTAACGGATCCGTCACGCTTTCAACTACCTCACCAAGTTTCAGCTTTTGCATCACGGGAATGACCTCTGGGTTTGAAATGTAATGTATCTTTGTGCTGTGCTTGTTTGGCTTGGTCGATAATGGAGTGGAATTGTTTTGAATTGCAGTTTTACAGACATCTTGTAAATTTTCATAGCTTTCCAATATAAAATGTTCTAACTTATTCTCATCCATAGTCTCACACTTTTGTTTCAGCTCGGAAAATATTTCGATGTCAGCGTTGATCTCGCTATTTAGCTTCTCAGAGTTCGTTTTGTGTCGTAACCGAATGTGATCTAATTCAGCAATCACAGCATCTTCGTGGTATTGTAGAATCTTCATCAGAGCTTGTGTGGCACTGTGCACTTCGTCTTTTGCCGTATCAACCTCGCTTTCGATCTTTCTCATATTTTCATTGGACAATTCTAATTCTTTCTTATAACCGATAATCAGCTCATTCAGTCGATCCTTTTCTTTTCTGATAAGGTTTTTAGCATCTTCAGCTGCCTCCTCGATGCTGACCTTGTCATGGCTGCTGTGTGCAGTTGTGCCACATTTTTGACAAATACACTTCTTGCAAGTCTTGCAATAATATTCAAGACGAGAATTCATATGGAACTTCTCTTTGCAAACTGCTTGGTTGTTGACAAAGCTGTTCAAAACCTCTGGATTGAACTCGCTCCAAAGTGTTGCCTTGTGGCTCTTTATCAACAAGGTTACTGTTCGGTGAGCATTCATGCATTCATCACAAATTATTCCTTCACACTGAGGGCAAAATCCGACCAACGCGTCGCACTTTGAACAACCAACACACTCTTGAAGCTGCTGCTGGCTCGGTTCGTTAGACTTTGTTTTCATGGAGTCGAATAACTGAAGCAGCGAGTTGAAAGTGAATGAACAAGGAAGATTCGCGATGTCGCCTCCTTCGATGTTGACTGTTGCTCGACAAGTTGGGCATTGCAGTGTCTTGTTCTCTTTCTGACAAGCCTCGTTCCAATCTTTGATGCATTTAAAGCAGAAAGTATGTAGACACGGTAGTGTCCTTGGTTCAGTAAAGATATCGTTACAAATAGCACAAGTTATTTGTTCTTCCAGGTTGGAAGCGAAACTGTTAAGTGC